TGGCTTTTAGTTTCTATGCAACCTCAAATAAGAAGGAATTTCATGTGGGCTGAAACGGCAAATGAGATCTGGGAACAAGCAAAATCAACATATTCAGAACTGCGACACTATGCAAAAATCTACTAGCTATAGGCAGAATCGTCTAACTTGTAAACAAGGGGAGAGGTGTCTATCTGTGTACTACTCAGACTTGACCTTTGTCTGGAAGGAGTTAGATCATTATCGGAGTGTGGACTGGAAGTGTGATGAAGATGCAAAACTATACAAAATACTTGTCTCCCAGCAGAGAGTATTTGCTTTCTTACATGGTTTGAACCCTACATATGAATCTATCAGAGTCCAGATCCTAGGTAGCAAGGATCTTTCATCAGTTCAAGAAGTTTATGCTCTTGTACAATCAGAAGAAAGCAGAAGGAATTTGATGAACAGTTCTAGAGGAGATGCAGTTGTTTTGGCAGCGAAAGGGAGTGTTACTACCGGTGGGGGAAATACTTCTAAGAAGGGGGATCTTTAGAAAAATATGGATGACAAGGACAAATTGTGGTGTACTCATTGCCAGAAACCCCGACACACCTGAGATACATGTTGGGATCTTCATGGGAAGCCGAAATGGGCTCAAGATCTGAATAAGAAGCAAGGTTCAGATATGAATAAAAAGTCGGGACAGCAAGGTACAAGAAAACACACTATGGCAAACATGGCTACTCAGGAGAATCAGCCCTCCATTCATACTGTGACTCAAACACATTCATCTGGATCTGACCCAAGGGAGGATATTATAAATTCCTTCCGTGACCATTTAGAGCTCTATGGTAGAGCAATTCGTTACATGGATGCTCCTCCCTCAACTTCATTTGTGTCTACATCAAGTAACTCTACCACAGCTTTCCATGTTGCTTCTCATAACCCTGACACTCCCTAGATCATTGATTCTGGAGCATCAAAACACATGACTGGTACGCCCTCTTACTTTCAAACCTGTTACCTTCTTTCCGGAAGAGACAAGGTGAGACTAGCTGATGGATCATACACTACCATAGCTGGTCAAGGAACCATTTCTCTCCCTCTCGGTCTTACCCTCTCTGATGTTTTACATGTTCTGAAATTTCCCATTAATTTGTTCTCTGTTAGTAGTATTACTAATTACTTAAACTGCTCAGTGACCTTTTTCCCTTCTTACTGTGTAATTCATGATCTGGCCTCGGGGAGGACGATTGGTAGAGGATGTATGGTTGATGGACTTTACATGCT